TTTTTTTTTTTTTTTTTTTTTTTTACATTGGGCCTTGATTTTACGTTATTACATCATGTTCTACTCACCCATATTTGTTTTGTGTCATTTGGAACTGTTCTGAAGATATTCCGTTAGGTTATATCCAAGTAACGTCTTCCTATGAGCAAACAACTTGAAGGCACAAACTGAACTGTTCATAATTTATTCTTCATGGTACCCCAGCATTCATAACATGTAGGCGACTCACTGTCCCCCAGACATCCGCGGTTATATTTTTTATATTTATATTTTTTTAAAACAAAGCAGAGTCTGTATGACGTCATCCACGTGCGCTGGCTACCATTCATTCTTCCTGCTTGCTGAACTGCTGCTAGTTTTACTCACATGCCTGGAAGATGTCTAGTGCTACTACCACAGATGATCTCGCTCTTGAAATGAAATTGAATGATTCATAGCTAGCCGAATGAATAGAAGGGGGTAGAGCGTAGCCTCCTGTGGCCCGGGCTGCCTGTTACAACTCCAGCCTGGCGCACTGAGGACGTCATACATGCGCTGCTTTGTTTAAAAAAAAAAAAAGTATAAATATAAAAAATATAACCGCCGATATCTGGGGGACAGTGATTCGCCTACATGTTATGAATGCTGGCGTATCATAAATGATAAATTATGAACAGTTTAGTTTGTGCCTTCAAGTCGTTGCCCATAGGAAGATGTTACTTGGATATAACCCAATGGAATATCTTCAGCTCCAAATGACACAAAACTAATATGGGTGAGTAGAACATGATGTAATAACATAAAATCAAGGGGCTAATGTAAAAAAAAAAAATGGCGTTCAACTTTAAATGGCCAGGCTCCATCTTATATCAGAGATATGATTGTTCCTTATGTCCCTAACAGAGCACTTCGCTCTCAATCTGCAGGTTTACTAGTGGTTCCTAGATTTTCTAAAAGTAGAATGGGAGGCAGATCTTTTAGTTATCAGGCTCCTCTCCTGTGGAACAAACTACCAGTTTTAGTCCGTGAGGCAGACACCCTGTCTACTTTTAAGGGTAGGCTTAAAACGTTCCTTTTTGATAAAGCTTATAGTTAGAGTGGCTCAGGTTATCCTGAGTTATCTCTAGTTATGCTGCTGTAGGCTTAGACATCTGGACGACAAAGGGACCCCTATTTCATTATTCTGCTTTATTCTATCTCTGTTCTCCCACTCTGCAGAATTGGTTAGCTCAATCTCTAATGTTCTGCTCTCTCTGCTTTTTCTCATAGTAGCTTCTCCTCGTCTGTTCCTGTTTGGCTGTGACACCATCTTGCAGAGAAATATCAGCTGTGCTGCTGCCATCAACACCTCTGTTAAAGATGTTCGAGATCGGCCTGTTTTCCAGTGTAGTCCTGTCTCTCTGACTGTGACTGGCTGGATGTAACCTCTTCATCCTCCGGCATGGGAGCTGGCTCGGTGCTCGTCGGCCTGGCTGTGTGTTTCCTGGACGGGGCCGCCTTTTACAGCTGCT